CCCCCATTTCCCCCCTCTCTTCATCTGCCCAGAAGATGGAGCAACCGCAGCCCCTGCAGGGCTTTGTGCTCTGTCCCTGCCTCTCCTTTTTGGGTTCAAACCCTGGGATTTTAGCTCCGTTTTCCCATCAAATTCCACATTTTTTCCCCAAAAATTCCCACCTCCCTCGTTTGATCCCCCCCCTCCCTTTTTTTGTTGTTTTTCTTTGCTGCTTTTCCAGCCATCGGGGTTTGGTTCAATTCCTGTTCCCAGCACCAGCCTGGATGGGGGGGAAAACCCTCCTTTATTTTTGGGGTGAAAAACCCCCAAAAGACACCAAATCTTCCCAGTTTTGGGCTCATTTCAACCCATTTGGGTCGGTGAAAAGCACAAAAATCTCCACCCAGGGGGTGTTTTGGGTCGTTTTCTCCCCAAAAAAAGCCACATTTGGAGATGCAATTTGGTGGCTGGTGCTGCTGGAAGGGCAGTTTCCTGGCTCTGTTTTGGTGCTGAATTCGATTTTTCACCCATTTTGAGGTGGATTTTGGTCAAATTTTGATGTTTTGGGAGGATTTTTGCACCTTCTTCATCCCCACTGGTGGCAAAACCTTCAATAATTTAACTCCTTTTTAGCCATTTTTCCTCTTCCTTCCATCCCTTGGATGTTGGTGATGCTCAAAAATGTCCCATTAAAATATTTGTGGGTTAATTTTAATTTTTGTCCCTTATTTGGTTCCTTTTGTACATTAATAATTGGGGGGGTTTTTTTGGCAAATTGGTGGATTTTGGATGGTTTCTCTTCAATAAAAATCGGTGCCTCCAATAATTGCTGCTGAAACTGGGGGCAAATCCCACCTTTGGCCAACTTTTTAAGAGGAGGTGGCAAAAGCAGCACAAAAAAAAGAAGCTTAAGAGGCTCAGAAATGGGGCAAAAAAGGCACAAAATGGGACTGAGGAAAAAAAAATCCTGGGAAAAATGAGGTGGAAAAGGTGCAAAACAACCCTGAGAGATGCAGCAAAAAATGGGTGGAAAAGGCACAAATTAGGGCAGAAAAGGCCTGAAAAGGGGTGGAGGGGGCACAAAACACCCCAGAAATGTTCTACCCCCCCCCTTTTTGGGCCAGTTTTGCTGCTCTGGTGACATTTCCAGAACCATTCCCCCCATTTTCCATCCCATTTTCTCATCTCCTTTCGCAGCCTCCTTAGACTTGTTGATTTTTCCTTCTAAATTGAAGCCTTTTCAGCAAATATGGGTGCCCACCACCCCAGAACGAGCTATCACCACAATGGGGAACCCCTGAAAAACAACCACCACCACCTCCCCCCAAACCCAACAAGATTTCACCCCAAAAAACACCTTCAAAAACCGCAACTTTCCTTGGCTTTTTATTTTCCCCGTTTCTGCCTTGTTTCTTGGAGGTCCAACTTGCCCACCTCGTTTTTGGGTTCAAACCACACATCTCAGCCACCCCAGGCTCATCCACACGTGGTTGTTGCTTTTATTCCCCCCTCCCCTTCATGTAGAAAATTCCCATTTTCCATAAAAAGCCATTTCAGGACCTTCTTGGACCCCGACATGTCGTGCTGCGGTTATTGCTAATTAACAACGTCGTGGTTCGGGCCTCACACCCCAAACAAAGCACCAACCACTTGGCCATGGAGGACAAACCCAACAAGAAGCTCGTGGCTCGAGAAGAGCCCATGGAAGGTTCTTCACCCGTGGGTGAAACAAACTCAACGTGGGGCAAAATCCCTGTTGAATTCCCCGCGACTCTGAGGAAAAACCCAGCTGGAATGAGGGGGTTTTGAGGAGTTTCTCAGCGAAGCCACTGATGGTTTTGATCAAATTAGCTAAAAATGGGGGGTTTTCTGAAGAGAAAGGGTGAGGAGGAGATGAGGGGAGTCACGTCCCACTGGTGTTTTCCAGGTGAGCCCCAGAATTCCGGCAGATCCCGGCGCTGCCGCGATGGCCTCGCCGGCCGCCAGCCCCGACTCCTCCGTCACCTCCGCCCCGGCCTGCTCCCCCACCTCTGACTCTGAGAACCTCAGTCCTGATGAGCTGGAGCTGCTGGCCAAGCTGGAGGAGCAGAACCGGTGAGTTCTGGAGGGTCCTGGGATGGTATGGGCAGTGGGGTAAGGGATGGGGTTGTCCCCTCTGCTGTGGTGAGATCCCCATTGGGAAGCTGGGTCTGGTTCTGGAGCCCCCAGCATAAAGAGATGGAGTTCCTGGAGAGCTGGGTCTGGTTCTGGAACCCCCAACATAAGGAGATGGAGCTCCTGGAGAACTGGACCCAGTTCTGGAACCCCCAACAAAAGGAGGTGGAGCCCCCATGGGGAGCTGGGTCTGGTTCTGGAACCCACAACAAAACAAGATGAAACCTGGAGAGCTGGGTCTGGTTCTGGAATCCCCAACAAAAGGAGGTGGAGCTCCTGGAGAGCTGGGTCTGGTTCTGGAACCCCCAACAAAAGGAGATGGAGCTCCTGGAGAACTGAGTCTAGTTCTGGAACCCCCAGCATAAGGAGATGGAGTTCCTGGAGAGCTGGGTCTGGTTCTGGAACCCCCAACATAAGGAGTTGGAGCTCGGGGAGCTGGGGCTCGTCCAACAAAAGGAGATGGAGCTCCTGGAGAGCTGGGTCTGGTTCTGGAACCCCCAACAAAAGGAGGTGGAGCTCCTGGAGAGCTGGACCCAGTTCTGGAACCCCCCACAAAAGGAGGTGGAGCTCCTGAAGAGCTGGGTCTGGTTCTGGAACCCCCAACATAAGGAGATGGAGTTCCTGGAGAGGTGGGTCTGGTTCTGGAACCCCCAACATAAGGAGATGGAGCTCCTGGAGAACTGGACCCAGTTCTGGAACCCCCAACTCAAGGACATTGAGGTCCTGGAGGACTGGGCCTGGGAGTATCTTCTTTTCTGGGGATGGTTTTGGGGAGTATCTCCATTTTTGGTGTGATTTTGGAGGACTTTCTTCTCCTTTGTGTCCTTTTGGGGGAATATCTCCATTTCCTGGGGTGGTTTTGAAGGACTTCCTTCTCCTTTGGGCTACTTTGGGGGAACATCTCCTCATTTGGGACAATTCTGGGACAACGTCTCCTTTGGGACGTTCCGTGGGAATGTCTCCTTCTGTGGGGACAGTTTTGGGGGCATCTCTTCTCCTTTGGGGCTGCATCTCCTCTGGGGCAGTTTTGGGGGAATATCTTGGCTTAGTTTGGGGGGAATTTCTCCTCCTTTGGGGCTTTTTTGGGGACTATCTTGGTGTCCCACAGGCTGCTGGAGGCCGATTCCAAGTCGATGCGCTCCATGAACGGCTCCCGGAGGAACAGCGGCTCCTCCTTGGTCTCCAGCTCCTCGGCCTCCTCCAACCTCAGCCACCTGGAGGAGGACACTTGGATCCTCTGGGGACGCATCGTCAATGAATGGGATGAGTGGAGGAAGAAGAAAGAGAAGTTGCTCAAGGTGAGGATGGAGCTTTTGATCCTGTTTTCATAGAACCACGGGATAGGTTTGGATTGGAGGGACCTTCAAGATCATCTAGATCCAACCCCCACCATGGGCAGGGACCCCTTCCACCAGCCCAGGTTGCTCCAAGCCCCATCCAACCTGCCCTTGGACACTTCCAGGAATGGGGAAGCCTCAGCTTCCCTGGCCCAGGCTCTCCCCACCCTCCCAGACAAGAATTTCCTCCTCGGGTCCAACCTCCAGCTCCCTCTGCCAGTTTCAAGCCATCCCCCCTGGTCCCATCACTCCTGCCCTTGGCCCAAGTCCCTCCCCAGCTTTCCTGGAGCCCCTTCAGCCACTGGGAGGTGCTCCAAGGTAGTTATGGGGTTGGGGAAGTCCTGGGGGGGCAGTTATCCCAGAATCCCAGACTGGTTTGGTTTGGAGAGACCTTCAAGCTCATCTAGATCCAACCCCACCATGGGCAGGGACCCCTCCCAGCAGCCCAGGTTGCTCCAAGCCCCATCCAGCCTGCCCTTGGACACTTCCATCACCCAGAACTTCTCCAGGAAACCTCCTCCAGGGTCTTCCCACCCTCACTTTTTCTTAACATCTCACCTCAATCTCCCCTTTTCTACATCCAAACTGTTTCTCCTCATCCCATCCCTCCATGGCCTCTTCCAAAGCCCCTCCCCAGCTTTTCCTGGAGTCCCTTCAGGCACTGGAAGGTTTTCCAAGGTCTCCATGGAACCTTCTCCTGTCCAGTTGAACATTCCCAACTCTATCTGCAGCTGCTTCAGCCCGAGGATCATTTCAATTCTATTTTAACCCTCCTGCAGAAACATCTCCACCAACGCTGGGCCACGATGGTGTCTCCCCACCCACCAGGAACTTTCCCATCTTCTCCAAACCCTGTTCCCTCAGGTTTTTCTCCCCTGTCTCCTCAGGAACTGATCCGGAAAGGGATCCCCCACCACTTCAGGGCCATTGTCTGGCAGCTGCTCTGCAGTGCCACCGACATGCCTGTCAAGAACCAGTACTCAGAGCTCCTCAAGATGTCCTCTCCTTGTGAGAAGCTGATCCGACGGGACATCGCCCGCACCTACCCCGAGCACGAGTTCTTCAAGGGCCAGGACAGCCTGGGCCAGGAGGTGCTCTTCAACGTCATGAAGGTAACACCTTTCCTGGAACCTCAACAGATCTTGGCCACAGCCTGGAGACCACTTGGGGTTTTGAAGTTGGTTTTGCTGAGGATTCATTTCTGAGGGGTTTGGTTTCACAGAATCATGGGATGGTTTGGGTTGGAAGGGATCTTCAAGATCATCTAGATCCAACGTCCCTGCATGGGCAGGGACACCTCCCAGCAGCCCAGGTTGCTCCAAGCCCCATCCAACCTGCCCTTGGACACTTCCAGGGATGGAGGAACCACCTTGAAGATCATCCAGGTGATCCTTAAGGTCCCTTCCAACCCAAACCAAGACCACCCAGTCCCACACCTCTGGATGGGCAGGGACACCTCCCAGCAGCCCAGGTTGCTCCAAGCCCCATCCAACCTGCCCTTGGACACTTCCATCATCCACAACTTCTATAAGAAGCCTCTTCCAGGGTCTCCCCACCCTCAGAGTGAAGAACTTCATGGAATGGTTTGGATGGAAGGGATCTCAAAGATCATCTAGATCCAACCCCCACCATGGGCAGGGACACCTCCCAGGTTGCTCCAAGCCCCATCCAACCTGCCCTTGGACACTTCCAGGGATGGAGCAGCCTCAGCTTCTCTGGGCAGCCTGTTCCTGGGTTCCCACCACAAACTCCTCTTGACTTTTCTTCTGACTTAAGAAGCAAATAACTGAGTCTTTTGGGTCTAAATCCAAGCCTGCAGCAACATTGTCCTCACAGGAAGTGCTGTCAACCCAAACAAACCCTGTTTTCCATGGTCAAGGCTTCCCATGGTGAGCAGGGGTGGTGGCCCAGCCCATCCTCCTGCTCCCATCTGTCCTTACTGGGAATTTTGTTGTCCTCCTTCCAGGCCTATTCGCTGGTGGACCGGGAGGTGGGATACTGCCAGGGCAGTGCCTTCATCGTGGGCCTGCTGCTCATGCAGGTTGGTGCCAGCCCTGGGCTGAGGAGAAGCTTTTCAACACCCTCTGGAGATCTTCTAGAACCTGGATGGGGAAGAGGAACGTTTTTTTTGTGCTCCTCAGGAGCAAAATGGGCTCATTCCCACCATCCTGCTTTCTCCAGAAGGGTTTCATATCCCCCCCTTCCCATTCCCTTTCACCTGGGGATGGTCCCATCTCATCACTTGGTGGGAAGAGGCTCCACATCTGGACCTGCCTGCAGAGGCTGAAGGTCCATGTCCCGTTGGGTCTCCAGATGCCTGAGGAAGAGGCCTTCTGTGTCTTCGTGAGGCTGATGCAGGAATATCGCCTTCGCGAGCTCTTCAAGCCCAGTATGGCCCAGCTGGGACTCTGCATCTACCAGTTTGAGTACCTGCTGCAGGTAGGGACCACCCCAGGGTCCTCAGAGTGCTCAGGGTGGTGGGAACTGGTGGGGAGAGGCAGGGGACAAGGACAGGGAGACACGGGTTCCTCCAGTGGATCTCGTGTCCAGCAGCACAGATCCCAGGGACATCTGGGAGGTGCTCTGAGGACCATCCATGGTTTTCATCAGTGAAACCCCAAGGATGTCCACAAGATACCCTGGGGGCATCCTTGAGACCCCACAGCACCTCCAGGAGAAGCCCCAGGGCTTCCATGAGACCCTGGGGACCACCTGTGAGAGACCCAAAGGGACCATCCATGAGACACTCCAAGGACCACCCACAAGATGCCCTGAGGGAACATCCATGACACCCTGGGGACCATCCCCAAGACCCTGGGGACCATCCCCAAGTTCCCCCTCACAAGGAACCTCCCATGAGACCCCTCAAGGATCTCCACACAAGTCCTCACAGACCTGTTCAAACCTCAAGAGCCGTGAAGTTTCTCCACCACTCCCTGTTCTTCTTCCTTTCCCCCCATTTCTC